TGGGACTATCTGCATTCACCAGAATTAAGAGGAAGGGAGAGAAGTAGTAGATAGATGATATAGTTATCTGCTATCAGTAATCCTTCCATAATACACATACTTCCACTGCTGTAAAATACGATTCATTCCCAAATGCAATGACTCATAGACCAAGTTGATGTACATTTAAATTCATTGTATTTTAAACTACTTCATATACTGTTGCAGTTTATCTATAACGGCCGGTTTTCTCATTCAATCCTTTTTGTATGAAAACTTGTGTACTCAAAATATCTAAAGTGCTTCGTACGAGCTGGCACTTAATGGACGGAATAGAAAATAAAGATCTACATTTTACATTCTAAATCAAGTTTCCTTTGGAACAAGTTTCTTTTGCTCACATTTCACCTCCAGCTTCTTCCGTTCGCTGGTCATTGAGCCTTCGGTGTTGGTGGCGTCGCAGGTGTAGAAGCCAGCGTGGGTGTAAGTGACGTGAAACGTGTGGTAGAGATTGTTGGGCCGCCGGTCACTACCAGGATGAGTGAAAAGCACCTTTGAAGACGGAGGATTTGACTCTGAGGTCAGTGTCAAGGTGAGCTTTGAGGGCGGGGAGCTTTCAACGCTGCAGCTGATGGAGACCAGCTGACCTTCCCTGACCTCGGTCTTCATGGATAGCGATGGACTGGTGGGAGCATCTGCAGAGAGAAAACATCTATGTTCTTCAGAAGGTTTCATTCATTGTTTAACATCATAGTACGTTAGCATCTCTGAAGTTCACCAATCAACGAGGGGGATATTTTTTAATGTATTTAGCATACAAACTCATTCGTGACATTTTGCTACTTTAACAGGGGTAAATGCCTGATTTTGGTCTTCCCTTGTTGCCTGGCAACTGCTCGCCATAAGAAGTGTTTTTGTTGTTAAATCATAAAAGTGTTGCAATGTCTGAGCTTTAGAAGTGCTGGGAGGTGGAATCAGTGCGTTAGCCACGTTGTCATTCCCACGCTCAGCTAACTGCTGAAGTTTTTTAATCATTTTATATTTCAATATTCATTGTACAGGCACGCGAGTTTACTGCAAGTTTTCATTTCCTTCAGAAAAATAACAATTTACCGTTAAAATATACATTTAAAAGATAGACAATGAATTGAAGTGATGACTTTCGGGCGATTGATCGAGTCCTTTGGACGTAAACGCTGATTTTCTAATGATCACACTTGACGTAAAAATGAAAAATAATAATAACAGAAACTAATCAGAGTGACATAATTACTCACAGAGCACTTCTATGCACACTGGCTCGCTTTGCTTCCCTGTATTGATGAAGTTGGTTGCTTTGCACGTGTAACAACCTTCATCTGTTCTCTCTACTGTGACCAGCGTTCGTTTGTTATCTCTGGTTGTCTCATACTTCCACCGTGAGGAGTCAATCTCCATGATTTCATTGTCTCGGTACCAGGAGTATCCAAGCGGGGAGGGATTGGCCTCAGTCTGACAATAAAATGTCAGAGATTTACCAACTCCCACACGTTCATCATCTTCACTGATGGAAATGTTTGTCCTCCTCGGGCCATCTGAAAGAAAGAATGAAATTATGATTAGGAAATAATAATAATAAAGCCTGCTTTCTACGGCAATGGAGGCTGTATATTCAATTCCTCACTCCACTTCAACTCAACAACAACATTTGTAGAGCTCTCAGAGCTGTGAAACTCACATTGAACTTTGACCCTAAAGGGCACCGATGTTCCTTCGCCTCGGACGTTAATGGCCGAACACTTGTAAACGCCTGCGTCCTCAGGCTGGATGCTCTGGACGACGTACCGCTCCGTCCTCTCCTCGCTGAGGGCTTTCTCATCCTTAAACCAGGTGAAAGTGTGAGGTAGCGGGTTGCTTCTCCTCACACGACATGTCAAAGTCATCACATCTCCTTGTCTAACTGTGGCAGTAGGGGACATGGACACCTCAACCTCGGGCCGGTCTGAAACACAAGATTGAATTCTTTCTTCATTCTAATTGGCAGCAATTATTCTGCAAAATAATAATGATAATATACTCACATGTAACGTTAATGTTGACAGGGTTTGATTTCATTGTCCCCAGTTTGTTTGTAGCTTCACAATGGTATTCCCCACTCTGTGACTCTACAATCAATGTGATCTTATGTTCGGCCCCTCTTCCAATTTCTTTATTTTCATTTCCGAACCATGTGAAGTTGGGATCTGGACGTCCGTTGGCGACGCATTTGAGAGTCACAGATCCTCCCTCCACAACATCTGCAGGGTGTTTTTCAGCCTGTGTGTCTCTGGGAGCATCTGTGTCAATCACAGAGTCAAAGAGAAATCCGTCAACTTGTTGCTCACTCACAGAAATGAAATATGAGGAACTGTTTATTTAGTACAAAAGATGCATCAAAGGTAGCTGCTCAAAAATGTTCTCATTCGTTTTTGCTACTATAAAGTACTGAAAACATAAAGACCTTATAGAATCCTTAAAGAAGGAGCATTTACAAGTAAAAGCCATTAAGCGAAAGTACAAAAGTGTTAACATCAAAATGTAAATAAAGTAGAAAATGCAGCAAATATGCAGAATGGGAATTTTAATGATGTATCACTCATTTGATTAAGCCTGATTATTTTACTATATATTTATTTGGCTTACTTAATTGCACCAACAAATCATTTTCACTCTCATCTAAGTTGCTGTCGATCACTGGTAAAGCAGACATAGATAGACTCCATTTATAAACTTACATTCCACAGTTAAGCTGATATTTCGAATCAAATATCTGTCGCTGTCATCTGTCTGGCAGGAAAACTCCTCTCCGTCATGCTGCCAGTTAACAGTAAAACTGAGCGAGGTGCTCTTCTGATTTCTGCTCTCCTGTGGATGCGTTAGGTGTGAAGTCGGAGACCGTGGACTCGAACTTTTGATTACTGGGTTTAAACCACATGAACTCAAAGTGGAGCAAGTGAGCGTTGCTGTGTCGTTTTCCTTGAAGACGGGCGGTTGCTGAAAAGTGATCAGGCATGGATTGTCTGGAAAAATAAGAAGGACAATATCAGAAGAAATGTCGTGGTGAATTACTTCTGTTCACTATTTCTGTTCTAAAGAGGAATTAATTACCATTCGTTACTGAGGTGATCAGTTAGTAAAGCATGTGAGTAGCGCTTCAGTTAAAAGCTTTGGAGTGATAAATACATTTAATGCTCAGTTAAAACTTTGAGTCTTCCGAGTTAAAAAAAGCTGCATAAACATTATATTTTCTCATTCTTTGCTGTTATATTGTTGGAAAATTTTCACTTAACTTTTAACACCACGACCAATTATCTTTTAAGAATATTCAAAAATGTAAACTTGACTTCAACCAACTCAAACATTTCTGCTTCCAGACCAGCTCATCTCTTACTGATTAATTAATTTCTATGTATTTTCTTAAAGTATATTTCAGTATTACCTTTAACATATAGTATCACTGGGTCGGTGTACCACTTTTCTTCCCCATCAAATCTAAAGAAATATTTTCCATTGTCGGACTTTTTCAAGTTGCAGAGTAAAATACTGCTCTTTTTTGAGATTGTAAGATAACCTCCTGAAGCTGGTAAAAGAGAACTGATTCCTTTCACTCTGTCAGCAAAGTCTGTGCTGACAGGAATGAGTGACTTATTCATGCTGTAGATGACGGTGCCAATCAAAACTGTTTTACTCCACACTACGTCCTTTATCCAAAACCAGTGAGCACCAGCAGCTTTCACTCTTCCATTGACTCTGCAGCTGATTTCAACGCAGGATCCCTCTTTAGCTGTCAGGGACGTGGTGACCAGTTCGAAGACGGTTGCTTCACTACAAGAAACATCTGTGACGGTCAAAACACAAGTGGTAAAGTCAATTTAAGTGATTTACAATATTTAATAACAATCTCGTTAAAGTTTACATTGTTATCAAACTGGAGTAATAAATTCCTACTTTTTAATATTGCCAGAACCACCAACCACCAAACTGAGTGAGCTTTCATTGTTGCGGCACTAAAGCTTGACGTCTGAAACACAAAAACAAAACAAAGGCATTTGTGCACATTATAACACCGTAGAACTGACTCTATTTTTAATCTGGCCTTTCTGCCCAGTATGCTTTTAGTCATTTATTCAAATCAGCTGTACTTCCTCTTTTTGTCCTCTTCATTTTAAGTGCTTTGAGTGGTTTTCCTTTCCTCCATTATTTCAACATTGTTCAATTGAATTCTCTTGCACTTCAGATAAATATAAGCTCAACTATCACAATTTGCAAAAGGCGAAAAGATTTTATATTGTCCAACATCTACTCACGTTAGAATCATTTCTAGGGAATTGTGTAAGTAGGGATGTAGCTGTATTAGATATATAAGCTCAACCATCACAACTTGCACAATGTTATTAGGTTTCCTTTGACAACTATGTCATCTATCAGCCCCAAACTTGGTTCTTAAAACTGTCAAAAGTATATATTGTGTTTTCATCATAAACAGTTAATACTTCGATTTCAAACAAGAAAATTATTTGGAAAAAAGTTGAAAGAATTGAATTATTCATTTTTGTAAAAATCAACTCTCTCTAGAATTATTCATTGCACCAACTTAACGGTTCGAATGAATGTTCACAGACGTAGATGTCTTTCAGTTTTATTATGCACAGATATATTTTAGATGGAAAGATACATTTAAAAAAAGACTGTTCTTACCTAGAGTGATCCACTTATAGCACCATGTTGCACACACCCTTCTTCCAAAAGTAAGAACAAGATCATGTAAAAGGAGTTTTCACAGTTGACCTAAAACATCTTAACATTTGCATGCCTCCCCATGTGAGCCAGAGAACACAATCTTTAATAGAGGACTTTCTACCTACAGTCTGCTGCATGCATCTTGCTCTCACTTCCTTATTTTATGCTTTTGAAGTCGTTGTCCAGGGAGGGGCTCAACTCTATTAAAGGCACTGAGCAACACAGTATTTGACATCTATTTGCAAAATGCTTACATGACGTTTACATCGTCATTTAGAGCTCCAAGCTCATCAAACAGAGTGAAAACACATCAGTTATTTCTCTTTATGGTGTAAATAGCGTCTTTCTCATGTTGCAAAAAACCAGACATTCAGGAATCCTTTTGCAAACACAAAAAACATTTGATTTCACTTCCCCTCCCCGAGAGCAGCGGCTACAATCTTCTGGGCGTCAGCCGCCATCTCATCGATGGCGGCGTTCAGCGCCTGCAGCATGGCAGCGAAGGAGCGGCTGGCCGAGCGGGCGTGCCTGGGCATCGCCATCTCCACCAGCTTGGACGAAACCGTGGCCGAGTCCCTTTCTGCCGCCGCCAGCCGCGCTTTCACCTCCCCTTTGGTGACCCCCGCCGACAGAACGCAGGTCCGCAGCCCTTTGAGGCGGGAGGGTTCCGCCCCTCGCTGGCGAGCCAGTCGCTCGACCGACCCGTCGTCCAGGCACAGGGAGAGCTGTGCTTTGCTCAGAATCCGCACCGCCACACCGCAGTCCACCATGGAGGCCACGAAGGGAACGGGGATGGCCGACACCCCGCCGGACAGCGAGGCCGCCGCCCACACCAGCGCGTTGAATGCCTCCTTTTTCCGAGCGACCAGGGTGGAGGTGAGTGCCGGGAGAGCCAGGAGAAGCGCGTGGGCCCGAATGTCTGGAAGGTCTCCTTCCAGGTCCTCCAACAGGCCGGGGAAGTCAAACTTCTCCAGGGCGGAGGGTCGCACCAGGTAGACTTTAGGCGTGGCTACGCCCTGCGAGGTCAGCACTTCTAAACCGGCTCTTCTCTTTTCTTCCAGGTGCTTTTCGGTGCTTTTTGCCGAAGCCAGGAGGACAAAGTACACCGCTTGCCGGTGTTGTGAGCGGGCCTCGAGAAACACCTGCACGCTGTGGGGTGGGAGCGCCTGGTTGAAGGTGATGAAGACGGCATTGTAGCGGGCAAACTTAACCCTATCCATGTATCCCTCGGGCTCAAAAGGAGAGGTGGGTGGGACAGGCGGAAGGTCCCACAGGCGAAAGTCGGGGTGTTTGGGGTTCGGGTAGCCTGCCACCTCCTCCGGGGAAACAGGGGGCTGGGACGGAGCTGCTCCGTCGTCCCCAGAGCTGAGGCCATGGAGGGAGTTGATGAAGGTGGCCTTCTCGTCTCCGTGGTCCCCCATCACAGCTAGGTTGATCCTACTGATCAGAAGATCCTCCACTGCATCCTTGACGTCTGATAACTTATTGTGGTCTATGGACTCTTTGAGGGTCTCAAGGAGGTTCAGGCTCCTGAAAACATCAGCCATTACTGTGAAAGGACAGAGATTGCAGTAAGAATATATCTTAACACATAAATATCGTGTGAATTGGATCATTTGCAAACAAAGCATTAAAAATGATGTACTTTACCGCAATGGTTATTGTAACAACATAAACATTAAAATGTCAATAAAAGTAGATCAAAGTGAAAGCTTTTCCAATGTAACCTTGCAACACAATCCCAGAATACATTTTAAAGCCAATTACATTTTTCGTGTACCTTGAAACGTGCCTTTCCACTACTGATGGGCATAGTGTTTAAACATAAAAGACATACACCCCTCTTGTCCAATGGCATTTGTGCTGGATTAAAGTAATATCTATCAAAATTTGAACACATCAGCACAACCAGTACCTCCCATCAAAGGACATTTAGTGCCGACAGCAATTCATTCGTTCAATTCTAGTAAAAAAGTGAAACCCTCAAATGAAGGTTTAACGCAGTCCGTCACGGATGTTGTTCCAGTCCAACGCGACGCTGCACGTACTCACCGGGGGTCTGGAGGGGAGGAAGCCCAGCGGTCGAAGGGTTCTGGATGAGCAGCAGCGTCAGGTTGATCTATTTAAAGGTGTCGGCCCGGTGGAACGTTCTAATCCCGTTAGCTCAGCCTTAATCCAGAGACACTTTCATGCACGCTGTGTGTAAACGTGAAGCTCTTTGCTTCCACGTACAAGGAAATTCAAGCAGTAGACGAAGATTCATTTTTAAAGGGGATTATTATCACAGGTCGGCTATTTTCAACAAGAAAGAAGTAAAGAAAGACAGGAAAGGATGCAGTACTGTATCAAGTAATGCAGTAATGTATCAATGGAACCAGCTAGTAACTTAAGGAATGTTTAGTACTTCATACTTTAGTTCCTCTCACTGTCCACAATGATGAGATAAAGTTGCCTTGTTGTCAAACACGTAAGGAGCAGAACACATTGATGTTTCCAAGTTAAGGGGAGTTACATCACCCTCGTTAAGGTTGTGTATTTCTCCACTTTCAACACTTAACAAAAAATGAAAAAATGCTGTTGCTGTGAAACAATGAGATGATTTCCTGCATTGTCCTTTTACCATAAAAGGAACAAAGTCTTGTACTCTAAGTGATCCTCCAACAAAGCTGCACAACTTTGCATTTTTCTGTTTCTAATAAGAGGAACCCAGCATGCAAAAAGAAATCGAACACCTGCCAGATGCTATTTTAGCCTGACATCCTCTCACACAATGATTTCCTGTCTTTTTCTATTCTATAGAGTTGCAAACTGAAAATCTCAGTATGTAAGTTAGTTTTTAAAAACGTAAATAATCTTGAACGCCAAATCTTTAAAAATATCTAAAGACAGATTTCCAGTGGATGTAAATCTTAACGTTAATTAGTCCTGTTTTGCTGAGGCAAAGGTGCAAAGTACCTCTAAACTGTTAATGGCTTTAAAAAGTCGACCACGTATGTACTGAATATAAATATATACACAACATTCCTCGTCCACATAACTCCTGAATCCCTCACCGTCTAGCTTCCTTTCCTAAAGTTACAGTACTCAACCTCTCCCTTGTTGTGAGTCTCTGTTCCATAACAATCATGCAGTTATAAACCTCACAGAATCACAATTTGCACCTTAAACCTTCGACCATGAATAATGACGGACATCTGTGCTCCACTTTTATGACCGTGAACTGAACAAAAAGGAGATGACCTCTATGACCGTTGCACAATCAATAGGGAAATACACTGTGGTGGTGTTGGGGTGCATCTTGTGTCACTGATTAATTAGCCACACAGAATGTTCCTCCTTTTCAGCTTCAGCGTCTTAGAAAGAGCTTCTGCATTTGTATATGATGTGCTTAAATATAGCAATAGTGTTTCTCAGTCCCTCTGTTAACTTCCTGTTCTCACATTGAGCTACTCATTTATTTTACATTTAACACATTGTTTATTTCTTCTCTCTGAAGAATGAGTGAAATAAAATGAAATAACCGACAACATTTTCATTGCTGGAAGGAGCTTTTATTTCTGTGCAATGTACATTTAGGCATCTAAGTTTGAATATTTCATATCAATAGAGGGCATTCAAACAAGCTTTTATGGTGTAAATGAGAGAAGTATTTGGGCTCCGGTGCCTTACCCTGCTCACTCAGTCACTTCACTTCATAACAAAGGGCACTTTGGAACAAGATGAGCTGCATTTCCCCTGCTGCTGCTGCCTGTCTGTCCTTCCTGCTTATTTGACTAATTCTACTGAGCATGTTTTTAGATATTTATTTCTCTTTCCTCCACCTTTAAAAAACACTTATTACATACTATGTGATGTTTTACTGTTTATGTGTCATTTGCACTTTCTGTAAAAGGAAATCCACCTCACACACAAACACTCAGCATCACATCTAAAACATGCATTTCTGCACTATATCGACCCCGTCGCTGAAGCTCACCCTGTTTATTAAGAAAAGTCCCTCCATCGAGCTTCACGGCCCCTGACTCTCCCCCATTATTTCATGGACATTAGAGTAAACATCCTCACCTCCACCCTCCTCCTTCAGCACACACTCTTCTGTCTCCTTATCTTCCCCTATGGCCTCCTCCTCCTCTTCCTCCTCCTCCTCTTCCCGGCCCTCCATCACTTCACTGTCCTCAGCACCATCACTTTGCCTCTCCTCCGTTCCCTTGTTGTTGATCTCGGCGTACTCTGGATCTGGGGTCTCCCGCGTATCCTCGGCCCCTCCGGCACGCTTTCTTTTCACCAAGGAAAAGTCGATGTCCGAGTACTCCACCTCTCTGGGCTGCACGTCACCTTCTGGGCCGCGGATCCTGTCGCTTTCCGCTGCTTGATGAGGATCCATCTGTCGGTGAAAATCAGAAATGGGAAATCATTTGCATCGTAACACATGAAGCCCCTGCATCCAGGCAGCAACTGGTTTTACTTAAATCTGCAAGGTGTGAAATTCACCCTGAAACACTAAACTTATATCATCTGTAAGGCAACGAAATGATCAGGAATGTTTTTTAAGTGAGAGAAACTGAAGAAAAACAATGGTAATGCATGTTAGGACTGACCTTTGAGCCCACATTTAACTAATATATTGTACACAGTAGTAGCCAGCTGTTAATATAAATACCAGTGGAACCGATTGAGTGGTCACCATCTCCAGAGTCATTCCACCAGAGGTCTTCTGTTGGTTTCTGGGGAGAAAAAAGGTGAACAACCATTACTTTTTTAATCAAAGTCCCTTTTTCTTTTAAGGCCACAAATGTGATCTTCAATTAATCTTCAATTGCATTTTCCCTCGACTGATAAACTTCACTTCATTATAACCTCTATTTAAAGTAATCGTAACTGTTAACAATTTATTCTGTCATTAACTGTGACCAACTTATCCCAGAATACATTTTAAAGCCAATTACATTTTTCGTGTACCTTCAAACGTTATGCAAGTAATAAAAAAACATACCTGCAGCATTTTAGGGCCAAACAGCAGATGGTTGCTGAAAGGAGAATCCCGATGAAAAACGCAATGAGGACGTGCAGGTTTTTGAAGCTGATGAGAAATGAGTAAAGGAGATCTGGAATGCAGAGGAACAAATTAATTAAAACAATAACAATGTATTGCTGCTTCTTCATGTTAAAGAATAGTTGGAAAGATGATGTATTTAAATGTCATGTCGTGCCTGTGAGGGTCTGCTCTGCTTCCCCGGTCACATTGTTGCTCACACAATCACCAGAGGTTTGGTTACTGATCTCTGGAGAAACTGCAAACTGGTTCAATCCAACATTTGTGGAACTTCTATCAGGAACTGATGCGTTTTGTACTGTTTGCACAGAGGTCAAAATGCAAAACATCGTTTTATGCTCCATTTAGACTGTAAATATAGAATATGTGAGGAATATTAGATTATATAAATATATTCATTGAAGCTCTTCTTACCTTTGACATTTACTTTGTTCACGTCTTAAATGTTGGCATCATAACTAGATTATAATAAAGATTCATACCTGTGGCAGCAGTGATGCGTCTCACAGAGAAGAGCAGAGTCGCACAGATGAGAACATACATCCTGATTTGACAATGGAGACAGTCTGTCTCTTTTCCTTTAACAAGAACAAACGTTTAAACGTGGTCATTTAAGTCCGGTGCCGCTTGTTTCACGTCTCTTGGTCTGTTCTCCTGCTCTCTTCTCACCACGGTGATCTCTGCCGAGCGTCTCTGAACTCACTCTTCCTCTTTGTCTTCGTTCCTCTTCGCAGAACAACTCATGTAAAGGAGGTTGAAAGGAAGGAAGTGTCTCTTCACACTGCTAACCCGTACCACATACAGTATATATATGTATGTATATGTGTAAATATATACATATACATACATATATATATACATATATATATATATATATATATACATACAGTATATATATAAATATATGTATATATATATATATATATGTATGTGTATATATGTGCGTATATGTATATATATATGTGTATATATATATGCGATGCCGCTGAGATTAGATGTATGAGCGAATCATCCACTTCAGGTGTGTCTTCCTACCCCTTCTCGGGGTAAACTTTGGCGTCGGCAGTGTGGCTGGTCTGGTCTGGTCTGGTCTGGTCTGGCGTGGCTGTTGCAGGGTCCAGTGAGGCTCAGCTTCTCAGGTCGTGGCGGTTTTATACTTTTAGGTAAGTTTCTGGCAATGTTGGTTATAGTTAGGCATCGGTAGCTGACGCTCCCTCTGTTTGCTATAGTCCGCCGGTTGTCTGGCTGGAGGTTGCGGCCGAGGGAGCGTGGCTGCCGCATTGTGTGTGTGGCGTCCCACGTGCCGCACGGAGCGTGTGTGGTGTCTCTCCATTCGGCGTCATCGACGCCATCCGCCTGTCTGCCAACTGAGGCTGGAGGTGGGACAGCGTGGCCTTCAAGCCAGTGCACAGCTCCTCATGCGTAGCATTCAATTCCTACGGTAGGCTGTCTCATCTGTTACTGCATAGGTGTACATGGGCCTTATCCAGCGGTTGTATAGATGTCTCTGCTACCTCTGATTTGCAGTTAAAGCTGCGTCGTTGTGGTGCACCACTCTGGTGCTGGAGCGCTGAAGCTTCGTAGTCCTGCTGAAGCGGGCCTCTAAATATTGCGAGACCCTCCCACTGCTGTTCCGTCTGGGCTGTTCTTCTGCATTGTGATTTAATCATTCTTCACTCTGTGTGTGCGCCCGCCCGCCTGATATTGCGTTGCTAGTGGTTGCTTTTCTTTTGATGAACAGGAGATGTTGGTGCCACTGGTAGTAGTGACTGGCTGATCCCGGTGTTGGTGGTTCTCTTTATTTTTCTGTAGTGCATCTCGGTGTCAATAGTTGGTGTGTGGTTTGTTTTTTGTTTTTCACATGTGGTGGAACATTAGGCCATTTGACTAAAAATGTACAGTAAAAAGAAAGTAAGAAACATCTTGAGATAATGAGATGACTTCCTGCACAGTCCTTTTACCATAAATAGGAAGTGTTAGTGCAAGTCGAAGCACTCACACATACTGTAAGTGATACTCTAGCAAAGCTGCACAACTTTGCATTCTTCTGTTTCTAATAAGAGGAACCCAGAATGCAAAAATTGATAACATCTGTTTTAGCCTGACATCCACTCACACAATGATTTCCTGTCTTTTAAAAAGAGTTGCAACCTGAAAACCTCAGTAAGTAAGTTCATTTCTCCACATAAATCAAATCTTAAATATCTAAAGGTAGATTTCCACTGGACGTAAATCTTAACGTAAAATAGTCCTGTTTGGATGAGGCAAAGGTGGTAAGTACCTCTAAACTGTTAATGGCTTTAAAAAGTATGTACTGTAAATAAATATATGCGTTCAACTTTTTGTAACCTTTTCATTGTATTCTTGTGAGTATATTTCAAATGGTTACAAACTTGACTAAGGACTCAAAATGATGTGGATCACATGTGGTTGGTACATGAGTTTTGCATGAAAAGACGTCAAAAAAGAAAGATGAACAGATTGACCTGGTTCTCTTTTTTCTGGTCTCTTCTCTCCACAGTGATGTCAGCCGTGTGACTCCGCTCTAAACAAACTCTCCCCATCGGTTATCTTTTACCTCTTTCCTCTTTGTGCTGTGATGTCACGAGAGGCTGGGTCTGGGAAGGGAGGTACGTTCACCGAAGATGGCTGTAACTGCTATGGCTCCATCTGCTGGTGGAGTTAGGAACCCCACTCCGAGCATCCCCCTCACACCTCAAACCCATCAGGGTATGACGACCTGAAGGCCTTTATAGGGTGGGGGACACACCATTGAGGGGAAAGAGAGAGACGAGCTGCAGGTTGGGCCCGATGCAGAAGACCAGGCCAATGCAGGAGGATTCCTGGAGACCGGAGGGACTGAGAAGACGAGGCATTGTTTAAGTTTTACCGGCGAAGATCGACCGAAGCCTAAGTTACACCTGTTTGACTACTGTTTTCTGTTTAAACCGAAGGGCGTGAATTAAACCTTTGTTTGCATTTTTGAACCTGGTGTCCTCGCACTACTTGAACCACCCCGGTGAGAGCGGCGCTGCCTCTCACGACATCACAGTGCAAACAACATTAATGCAAAGTATTGTCTTCATGCAGTTATAACCTCACAGAATCACAATTTGCACCTTAAACCTTCGACCATGAATAATGACGGACATCTGTGCTCCACTTTCATGACAGTGAACTGAACAAAAAGGAGATGACCTCTATGACTGTTACACAATCAATAGGGAAATAAACTGTGGTGGTGTTTGGGTGCATCTTGTGTCACTGATTAATTAGCCACACAGAATGTTCCTCCTTTTCAGCTTCAGCGTCTCAGAAAGAGCTTCTGCATTTGTTTATGATCTTCGTAAATATAGCATTAGTGTTTCTCAGTCCCTCTGTTAACTTCCTGTTCTCACATTGAGCTACTCATTTGTTTTACATTTAATACATTGTTTATTTCTTCTCTCTGAAGAATGAGTGAAATAAAATGAACTAACAGACAACATTTTCATTGCTGGAAGGAGCTTTTATTTCTGTGCAATGTACATTTAGGCATCTAAGTTGAAATATTTCATATCAATAGAGGGCATTCAAACAAGCTTTTATGGTGTAAATGAGAGAAGTATTTGGGCTCCGGTGCCTTACCCTGCTCACTCAGTCACTTCACTTCATAACAAAGGGCACTTTGGTACAAGATGAGCTGCATTTCCCCTGCTGCTGCTGCCTGTCTGTCCTTCCTGCTTATTTGACTAATTCTACTGAGCATGTTTTTAGATATTTATTTCTCTTTCCTCGACCTTTAAAAAGCACTTATTACATAAAAGGTGATGTTTTACTGTTTATGTGTCATTTGCACTTTCTGTAAAAGGAAATCCACCTCACACACAAACACTCAGCATCACATCTAAAACATGCATTTCTGCACTATATCGACCCCGTCGCTGAAACTCACCCTGTTTATTAAGAAAAGAAGTCCCTCCATCGAGCTTCACGGCCCCTGACTCTCCCCCATTATTTCATGGACATTAGAGTAAACATCCTCACCTCCACCCTCCTCCTTCAGCACACACTCTTCTGTCTCCTTATCTTCCCCTATGGCCTCCTCCTCCTCCTCCTCCTCCTCCTCCTCCTCCTCCTCCTCCTCCTCTTTCCGGGCCTCCATCACTTCACTGTCCTCAGCACCATCACTTTGCCTCTCCTCTGTTCCCTTGTTGTTGATCTCGGCGTACTCTGTATCTGGGGTCTCCCGCGTATCCTCGGCCCCTCCGGCACGCTTTCTTTTCACCAAGGAAAAGTCGATGTCCGAGTACTCCACCTCTCTGGGCTGCACGTCACCTTCTGGGCTGCGGGTCCCGTTGCTTTCCGCTGCTTGATGAGGATCCATCTGTCGGTGAAAATCAGAAATAAGAAATCATTTGCATCGTAACCCATGAAGCCCCTGCTTCCAGGCAGCAACTGGTTTTACTTAAATCTGCAAGGTGTGAAATTCACCCTGAAACACTAAACTTATATCATCTGTAAGGCAACGAAATGATCAGGAATGTTTTTTTAAGTGAGAGAAACTGAAGAAAAACAATGGTAATGCATGTCAGAACTGACCTTTGAGCCCAAATGTACTAATATATTGTAGCCAGTAGTAGCCAGCTGTTAATATAAATACCAGTGGAACCGCTTGAGTGGTCACCATCTCCAGAGTCATTCCACCAGAGGTCTTCTGTTGGTTTCTGGGGAGAAAAAAGGTGAACAAACATTACTTTTTTTTTTATCAAAGTTTTTTTTAAGGCCACAAACGTGATCTTCAATTAACCTTCAATTGTATTATCCCACGACTGATAAACTAAACTTCACTTCATTATAACCTCTATTTAAAGTAATCGCAACTTAACCATTTATTCTGTCATTTACTGTGACAAACTTAACAGTATAATTTGTTTATATAATTTATGGCTTAAATATAGGACAGTAAATATTGTCACTTCACAGAAGAATGTTTAGGGTCAAACACCAACAAAGTTTATTTTAGTCTTGTTATGATCTATTTCATTTGATCACACCAGTTTTTCTCAAAATTAAAACGGCATTCAGAATTGCCAAATTCACTTTTGTAAAAAAATAAAGAAGTTGATGAAGGAAAAGGACAGCAATTAATGTCAAAAAGAAGAACAGTTATGCAAGTAATGAAAAAAGTACCTGCAGCATTTTAGGGCCAAACAGCAGATGGTTGCTGAAAGAAGAATCCCGATGAAAAACGCAATGAGGACGTGCAGGTTTTTGAAGCTGATGAGAAATGAGTAAAGGAGATCTGGAATGCAGAGGAACAAATTAATTACATAAATAACAATGTTTTGCTCATGTTAAAGAATAGTTGGAAAAAATTATGTATTTAAATGTCATGTCGTGCCGGTGAGGGTCTGCTCTGCTTCCCCGGTCATATTGTTGCTCACACAATCACCAGAGGTTTGGTTACTGATCTTTGGAGAAACTGCAAACAGAAAGAAAAAACTCAAGAACAAAGCGAACAATAAAGTAAAAGAACATGAAGATCCTTCAGACTGCAGCCTACTTACACGTCACGGTTACTTCAGCAGCTGTAGTCACATTAGTGATCCTTTGCTCCGCTGTACAGACGTACTGACCAGAACACTCTGCTGTCACATTAGAGATGAGAAGAGTTGCTGCTCCACTCACGTTGTGCAGGACATTTTTGATTGGAAGTTTAGTCCAGGTGACACGAGATGGAGGGAAACTATCTCCACTGCAGGTCAGACGGAGAACATCTCCTTCTTTAACCGCTGTGTTTCCGCTGATCACAGGTTTCTTCATATCTTCAGAAAAACATTTTATACAAACTTTTAGAATTTGTGAACAGAACATCTTTTTTTTAATAAAACCATTATGTTGGTTTAAGCCAAATAAGTAAGAACGAAAACTCCATTAAGACCAAAAATATTCAACAAGGAGCATGAAAATCAAACAATTTCTCTTCACTTTTATATGTTTTACAGCATTTGAAATTCATGACGCCACCGACTGCAAAACATACAACAAGATCACCGCTGGTGAAAACCATCAACAATACATACTACATGTGGGAAAACCCTTCAGACATTACAGAGTAAAGGTGAGCATGAAGGTCAGTGATACTCACAGGTCACATTCAGAGTCTCCGTCTCCTCTGTAGTGATGTTGTTGGGGAAGCTGACCTTGCAGGTCACATTGGTGCCGTGGTGTTCAGCTGAAAGGTTAAAGGTCAAAGTTGAGCTGCGTCTCTGTGTGACAGAAGTCAGGTGCTCGGTCTTCACAGCAGTGATGGTTGCTGAGATGTGAGAGTCCTTCTCTCCTGCTCCTCTCCACGTCCAGGTGATCTCAGGATCCGATCCAGAGCAGAGACCAGGAGCAGTGCAGCTCAGTGTGGTCTGCTGCCCCTCTGTCAGAGGAGGAATCCCCACTGTGGGCTTCTGGGTCAGACCTGAAGGGAGAGCAGTCAGTGAGAGGACTCAGGGGAGCAGCCTGAAGCTCAACACTCACTTCAATCCAACATCTGTGGAACTTCTAGCAGGAACTGATGCAGTTTGTACTGTTTGACCAAAGAGGTCAAAATGCAAAACATTGTTTCATGCTCCATTTAGACTGTAAATACAGAATGTGTGATGAATATTAGATTAACTAAATATATTGAAGCTCTTCGTACCTTTCACAGCGATGTTTACTTTTGAAGAGGATTGACGTGTTTTCTTGTTTCCGTCCAGTAATCTGAGCCAATAAGATCCAGAGTCTGACTCAGTGAGGTCATTGATGATGATGCTGCAGTTCTTCAGACTCAGGTCAGGCTGCAGCAGTGAAACTCGTCCAACAAACCGGGGCTGAGTTTTGGTGTGGTTCGCGTTGGAGTGAAATATCACTTCTGAATTAGCACATTCTTGTTTTGATGGTTCACATTTGTAAAACACCAGCTGTTTGGGAATGTAATTAGAAGTTTTGAAAGAACACGGTATGACCACACAGAGTCCAGCCTCTGCTTTTATTTCTCCTTCACTGAAAGTGACACAGGATCCATCTTTACAGGGTTCCTCCTTCCACACTGGTGATGAAAACAGTGAGAAAGAAACTGTTTAAATCTTGAAAATTCTCCATGATATTTAATAAATGGTGAGAGAAGGCAATACTTGGACTGTTTAGAATATAGAATATTTAGAATATTTCTTCACACATTATAACTTTTCGTAAACAAGATAATAATATAAATGATATTATATTAACATTTATCAAAGCAAACTATTGCTGTGTACTTTGTTCACGTCTTAAATGTTGGCATCATAACTAGATTATAATAAAGATTCATACCTGTGGCAGCAGTGATGCGTCTCACAGAGAAGAGCAGAGTCGCACAGATGAGAACAAACATCCTGATTTGACGATGGAGACAGTCAGTCTCTTTTCCTTTAACAAGAACAAACGTTTAAATGTGGTCATTTAAGTCCGGTGCCGCTTGTTTCACGTCTCTTGGTCTGGTTCTCCTGCTCTCTTCTCACCACGCTGATCTCTGCCGAGCGTCTCTGAACTCACTCTTCCTCTTCCTCTTTGTCTTCTACTTCGTTCCTCTTTGCGGAACAACTTTAACACTGAAAAATAAAATAAAGGAACAGTAAAAAGGAGAAGTACGATGTGTTTCTGAGAAAATGTCACACCTTAAGAAACTAATACATAATCTAGCAACTCTACTTCTACACAGCAACGCACAATGTAACACATGCGTTTGCATAGTGGGGGCAGGGTGCATGTGAGTGACTTGTATTATAATGACAATGATATATTTGCAACAGTGTGGTTTGTATAGTTGAATATTTTAGAGCAGCGATTCCCAAAGTGTGGGCCCAATGGTGGGCCGCGAGAGGTCATTTACAATAAATAAATAAAATGTTTTTAATTTTCAATTTGAAAAGTTTGAAATTAATATCAAAATGATGCGGCACATTAGTTATGTGAAACATTAATTGATGAAGCACAAACTATTTAAACAAACAGATTATTAAAACAATAAAGCATGCTTCTGCATTTGTTGAAGACGACCTAGAGAGTCACGTCTATTTATTTATTTTTAAATTTATTTGTTTATTAGACTTTATTGCCCCGTGCATCACCACTGCTGCTTTTCATCAAGGACACATTTGTCCCGGGCGGCTTGCGTCACACACGCAAGGACGCAAGGAGGTGTGAAAAGGCACGGGACACGCAAGGGGGTAGATGATAACCAGCTAAAACCACCATTTACCATCATTACCGGCACATTAAGAGCAATGCGTCCAGCTCGCAGACCGGTCTGTCAGTCTGAATCTGAATATCTTGCCAACTTTACCGAACTATGGAGGAGCCTGCGCATATCTTGTATATCACATATCACATTCACTACAACCTCATTATTTTTTTTTTTCAAAAAGTCGATCCGTATTGAAAGTTGGCAAGATATTCACAGATTCTGACTTTTTCTTTCTCGGTATTTTACAAATACGGACCGGTCTGCGAGCTGGACGCATTGGTCTTAAAGTGCCGGTAATGATGGTAAATGATGGTTGTAGCTGGTTGTCATCTACGGTCCACTACGATCACCGAAGGGGGCGTTTGTTTTTTGACAACGTTTTATCTCATAATTTCGACTTTCTATCCCCTTACATTAGTGCGGAAATGGGCTTCTATAGTTGTGTGAATGCATCACTCCAGCCAATCCAAAGACGGGGTTTGGAACCAATCAGGTGTAGAGACCATGGTGACTGGCTCCGCCCCCTTACTTTCAGAAAGAAAAACAGCGAGCACGTAGAAAACATCTTGGAGCGCGAGCAGAGACTAACCTCGCGAGCGAGGAACTTCACGTTTTGCGAGGGAGCAAATATCTCGCGCGAGATGAACTTTTGCTTGCGGAGGTTTGATTTACGCGCGCGCATCAACCGGATTTGCGCTCTCGAATTTTGACAGTGATTTGCCGCCGTAGCTGCTCTCCAGCCACGCCGCCTGCCAAGGGCCCCTTTTAGAATAACTTATTTTCCCCGTTAAGATGGTTCAGCTACTGTGGAGAAAAGGGCGCCGTCTCTCGCTCTTTAATCTCATGAAGTGCTCGGCAAGAACGACAGCTTTGTTTCTCCGACGCGCCCTGAAACAAGCTCCATATCTCACGCGCTTGAGCGCCGCTCAGCATCTCGCCGTCGTAGACGAGCTTTGGCAAGTTTGGCAGAGCGCCTTGAGCGCCGTGTACAACCAGTATGGATCAACCGATTAACCAATTGATTCCGATCCGAATTATAAGGCATATATATATATATATATATATATATATATATATATATATATAATTCGGAGCGCCTTATATATATATATATATATAAGGCGCTCCGAATTATAAGGCACTGTGTCATTTGAGAAAATTAAAGCCTTTTAAATGCACCTTGGAGTGCGGAAAATGCGGTATATTTACTTTAATACTACAAGAGGCGCCGCATTTGACATTGTTTTGTTTGGCGGCGCCTTTTGTTGAATAACGACAGGCGGACAAGAGCAGCCGTTTCGAGCGAGAGCCTTATTGTTTCATTAATCTGTTCGTTTAAATAGTTTTCAATTCATTTTTCACATAACTAATGTGCCGCATCATTTTGATATTAATTTCAAACTTTTCAAATTGAAAATTAAAAACATTTTATTTATTTATTGTAAATGACCTCTGCCCACCTGCAGCACCTTCGCGGCCCACACTTTGGGAATCGCTGGTGTAGTGGATCTGAAACAACTGGTTACGTCTTAGAACACTTCCAAAGAAATGTATGGACTTAGGTTTGTCTTTTTCATTTCTTTCCTTTAATATGATTTCATTATGTTGCCATATGCATTTAGATGTCATTGTACAATTAATTAAACCTGGTAAATGTATTTGAAAGCATGAGTGAATTACGCAGAGCATGTGTGTTGCAAAAGTCCGGAGAGATGTGCATGATGACTGGATAAGATTAAACTGACTGTTTTGTAATCATGTGTATTTATCTCAAATATAGTGAATTGGAATTAAATCCCAGTCTATGACATGAGCCTGTTTTAAATAAATCCCTCTTCCCCCTTGTTATGAGTTGAATAAAAGCAAAATTTAAGCAAAATAAATGATTGAAGATTACATTTCAGTTGAATGCGTATTGAAAACTGACAGCGAACTGGTAAGATTGTTTATTATTACAAGCAGTGACAAATGTAAGTGAAAAACATGTAAAAGAGATGAGCTCCTATTAATTTACTATTATATAATAATGTACTCAGCAGTGAAAGGCTTTAGGGAATTAGATATACTTCAAAATAAACAGTAATGAAAAATAAAATTGTATTTTTAGGATTTAAAGATGGATAAAAGAAGAAAGAACAACCTGATCATTCTAATCACATTATTTCTGGGCCACCTAATCATTGATACCCCAACTGTGATAAACACCCTCTCCAAATCAAATCATGTTATATTGGTCATGAATTAAAGAATATGAGAACATCAATCAAATATGTGGTGAAAATTAAATACAAGTTGTGGGTTTGAAAAGCGCTTCTACTGATACGATCAATGAACTCACTAATTAAGTAAAACCAGAAATTACAATGTTTCAACAAAGATTATTTACAGTCATGCATTATGGGACTACTTTAATATTAATAACAGTCCAAAGCGGGATATAGATTACAGTTAAATCAAAAGGAGTCTAGGAACCATTTTCATGAACCTTCATGCATGTTGATGGACGAACAGAAGAACCATCTTGTTGATCCCTCAGTGGAAGCTGACGCTTCTTAGTTCAGAGGTCGAGCGATGACATCATACTCTGGGGATTGGTGGGTTTTCTGCAGTGACATGTAAGTTCTGTCCTCTTGGTTTGGCGTCACTTTTTTCCTTGTGTTCCTTTGGAGAGAAGAAAGAGTGAGACATGACGTGTTGTCTCAAGGTCTCCGCTGCATCGACGTAGTGATGAAAGAACAACATGATGAAGTAGAGACGTACCAGAGAAACATCAAGAGGATCATGCAGATGATGTTCACAACGAGAGAAACAACAGCGATCACCATCCAGGGAAGCTCTTCACACGGTCCATGTTGATCTAATATTACAAATGACATAATGTAGTTTACTGTTATTAAAGTTTACACAGTCAACCAGTGTTAGCTATTAATGACAGACACCAAAAATGACATTAATTTATGAATTAAATAACTCAGAAATATTGAATCCACAGCAGATGGTGGGATTTCTATTAAAGGTGAAGGCTATGATTATATGTATTCTATTGGAATGGATAATTTCATCATTCACATTTTCAAAACTTAACAAATTGTTCTATAAACAACAATAGAGTCTCAACTATCTCTGTGTGTGTTCATCGTCCTGCTCTCCTGAGGTTATGATGCTTAATGTGTGTTTCACTTAACGAACTTGGTTGCTGCTGAAATACTCAACATCAGTGTTGTTGTTGTTGTTAGTGTGCTGATGACGGAATAATGTGTGAGTCTCCAGCAGCGGCCATGTGATGGTGGCTAAAATAAAACACACACACACAAACTTTAAAATGTTTGCTTCCCCGGTCACATTGTTGCTCACACACTCACCAGAGGTTTGATTACTGATCTTTGGAGAAACTGCAAACAGAAAGAAAAAACTCAAGAACAAAGCGAACAATAAAGTAAAAGAACATGAAGATCCTTCAGACTGCAGCCTACTTACACGTCACGGTTACTTCAGCAGCTGTAGTCACATTAGTGATCCTTTGCTCCGCTGTACAGACGTACTGACCAGAACACTCTGCTGTCACATTAGAGATGAGAAGAGTTGCTGCTCCACTCACGTTGTGCAGGACATTTTTGATTGGAAGTTTAGTCCAGGTGACACGAGATGGAGGGAAACTATCTCCACTGCAGGTCAGACGGAGAACATCTCCTTCTTTAACCGCTGTGTTTCCGCTGATTACAGGTTTCTTCATATCTTCAGGAAAACATTTTATACAAACTTTTAGAATTTGTGAACAGAACATCTTTTTTTATAAAACTATTATGATGGTTGAAGCCAAATAAGTAAGAACGAAAACTCCATTAAGACCAAAAATATTCAACAAGGAGCATGAAAATCAAACAATTTCTCTTCACTTTTATATGTTTTACAGCATTTGAAATTCATGACGCCACCGACTGCAAAACATACAACAAGATCACCGCTGGTGAAAACCATCAACAATACATACTACATGTGGGAAAACCCTTCAGACATTACAGAGTAAAGGTGAGCATGAAGGTCAGTGATACTCACAGGTCACATTCAGAGTCACCGTCTCCTCTGTAGTGACGTAGTTGGGGAATCTGACCTTACAGGTCACATTGGTGCCGTGGTGTTCAGCTGAAGGGTTAAAGGTCAAAGTTGAGCTGCGTCTCTGTGTGACAGAAGTCAGGTGCTCGGTCTTCACAGCAGTGATGGTTGCTGAGATGTGAGAGTCCTTCTCTCCTGCTCCTCTCCACGTCCAGGTGATCTCAGGATCCGATCCAGAGCAGAGACCAGGAGCAGTGCAGCTCAGTGTGGTCTGCTGCCCCTCTGTCAGAGGAGGAATCCCCACTGTGGGCTTCTGGGTCAGACCTGAAGGGAGAGCAGTCAGTGAGAGGACTCAGGGGAGCAGCCTGAAGCTCAACACTCACTTCAATCCAACATCTGTGGAACTTCTAGCAGGAACTGATGCAGTTTGTACTGTTTGACCAAAGAGGTCAAAATGCAAAACATTGTTTCATGCTCCATTTAGACTGTAAATACAGAATGTGTGATGAATATTAGATTAACTAAATATATTGAAGCTCTTCGTACCTTTCACAGCGATGTTTACTTTTGAAGAGGAATGACGTGTTTTCTTGTTTACGTCCAGTAATCTGAGCCAATAAGATCCAGAGTCTGACTCAGTGAGGTCATTGATGATGATGCTGCAGTTCTTCAGACTCAGGTCAGGCTGCAGCAGTGAAACTCGTCCAACAAACCGGGGCTGAGTTTTGGTGTGGTTCGCGTTGGAGTGAAATATCACTTCTGAATTAGCACATTCTTGTTTTGATGGTTCACATTTGTAAAACACCAGCTGTTTGGAATTAGAAGTTTTGAAAGAACACGGTATGACCACACAGAGTCCAGCCTCTGCTTTTATTTCTCCTTCACTGAAAGTGACACAGGATCCATCTTTACAGGGTTCCTCCTTCCACACTGGTGATGAAAACAGTGAGAAAGAAACAGTTTAAATCTTGAAAATTCTCCATGATATTTAATAAATGGTGAGAGAAGGCAATACTTGGACTGTTTAGAATATAGAATATTTAGAATATTTCTTCACACATTATAACTTTTCGTAAACAAGATAATAATATAAATGATATTATATTAACATTTATCAAAGCAAACTATTGCTGTGTACTTTGTTCACGTCTTAAATGTTGGCATCATAACTAGATATTAATAAAGATCCATACCTGTGGCAGCAGTGATGCGTCTCACAGAGAAGAGCAGAGTCGCACAGATGAGAACAAACATCCTGATTTGACGATGGAGACAGTCAGTCTCTTTTCCTTTAACAAGAACAAACGTTTAAATGTGGTCATTTAAGTCCGGTGCCGCTTGTTTCACGTCTCTTGGTCTGGTTCTCCTGCTCTCTTCTCACCACGCTGATCTCTGCCGAGCGTCTCTGAACTCACTCTTCCTCTTCGTCTTCTTCCTCTTCTACTTCGTTCTTCTTCGCGGAACAACTCGTTTAAAGGAAGTTTCTCTTCACACTACTAACCCGTGCTACATATATTTATATATATCTGTATAAGAAATACATCTTGTGTGCATATTTGGAGGGTTTTGTTGCTAAAGCCAGACTTCAGAGCATTGTTTCACAAAATCTTTATTCTACTGCAGTTTGTTCACTAAACAAGAAGAATTTAGCAGCGTTTTCTTTGGACTTATTTTCTCACAACATTAATTAATTAGATAAACCACAAATGTACATATGATTTATAATTAATTTCAGGTTGATAACTTTAACACTGAAAAATAAAATAAAGGAACAGTAAAAATGAGAAGTACGATGTGTTTCTGAGAAAATGTGACACCTTAAGAAACTAATAGTTAATCTAGCAACTCTACTTCTACACAGCAACGCAAAATGTAACACATGCGTGTGCATAGTGGGGGCAGGGTGCATGTGAGTGACTTGCATTATAATGACAATGATATATTTAGTCTTTAAAGTGCGGGAAATATATGCAGCTTAACATTTTTGTTGAAACTGCAAGAACATCCATATTTGTAACAGTGTGGTTTTTATAGTTGAATATTTTAGAGTGAAACGTCCTTAAGTTCTAAAGTGACGAAACATTGAAACTTTGAGACAGTTGATTATGATCATAACTATAAAGTAAATGTTAGTGTGTCCATGTGTACATCTGTGTACGTCTATGCATCAGTGCGTCTCTGTGTGTGTTTAAATGTTAGTGTTTGTTTATGTGGCAGTGTGCAGTGATTGGTCCTAATAAGTGTCAGCAGGGTCTGGATGACAGCCAATCGCTGCATGACAATCCGGTATAAAGGCGGCCTCGGAGCACCTGTCTGCCTTTCATTTGCCAGAGGCTGCGGTTACGACACATCCTGGCGTCTTTCACGCTGCTCCGTGTGGTGACAGGTAGGCTGTCAGCAGCAGCTGACTTCTCTCCCACGTTGTCCAGCCAGTGCTCATTTAAGTGCTTTTGTGTCCTAGAAGCTCACTGGTATGGCTGCATGCTGCTCTCCACCTCGTGCACTCAATGTCTGCTGCTGGTAACTCTCGTGGTAGCGTCGACCCCTGTGACTCACGCGGATTGTCCTGAAACGGCCTGACTGGTATATAGGGCAGTGGCTTTCGCTCCCTCCTCCACCCATGGTAAGGTTTTCCTGTCTGCTTTGTATTGCAGGGCAAAAGGATCATTGAGCAGCAGCACTGCACCAGCAAACCTGCCAGAGACCACTGCTGCTTTGCCTTTGGCTAAATTCACCCTGTCTGGGTCTGCTTTGCCTTTGGCTGTGTTTACCCTGTTTCGGTTTGCTTTGTTTTGGCCTCCCCAGATTGCTCATTTTTGTGTTTTTCGCTGTGGGCCTCCCAACTGGGTAAAGACATATTTTAACTGCGTATGAGACAGGCCGTACTTATTATTTGTTTGGATCCTTTGTTTTCCTTATTTTGTGATTTCGGTAAGCTTTGGTTAAGCAGTTTGGTGTTTTATTAGTATGGTTTTTGTTTAAATTTAATTTTCTCTTTCTGTATTAGTTTTGGTTTAATTTCTTTTATTTTAAAGCTGTTGCTATCATCTCCGCCCCTATTCAGGTGCTGAGTCTGCGGTGGTGGATTGGTGTCCCAGGTGGCTCTTTTGTTGTGTTTTTGCATGTTTGGGTTTGCTTCATTTTTAGTTTTACGTGTGGTGCTCCTTGGGTCCCCTTTTTTTTGGGCAATCCATTGTTGTAAGTCTCAGCCCTGATTGGTTCCCCCGTTGCTCGTCCCAGAGTGAGTGAGGTTTTTAAACAGTGAATTGAATTTAATAAAATTGCATTTTGTATTTTAAATTGCGTCTCTACCTCATTTGCGGCGAACTGGAGTGCCTCCTTTTCTTTTGGTTGGGTGTCGAAGATTTAAAACAATTCCCTGGGTGAAATTCCCGTTGTCTGGCAACATTAGAATATTTAAACTGCCCTCACCGGCGTAGCTGGTGCAAGTTTAGGGATGGAGACTGAATTGCATGAACTGAGGGATTCAGTCGCTCCGCTAAGAGCAGATGAGAGGCTGAGACAGGAACAGGTTGCGACCGTGCGTGGTCCTGGTACAGCACCCTCAATTCCTCTTCAACATGCTGCTCCTTCCACTACCAGTGCCTCTTTAACAGACTGTTTTTTGTGCCCAGGGACCGGAAGTGTTCCATCTTTAGGGGAAAGTCCGGCATAGGGTTAGCGGAGTGGCTGGAGGAGGTGCAAGCCTGTATGAGAGCACGCCACTTGTCTGCATTAAATCAGGCGTTCTTTTTATACGACCCTTTTTATACGAGATTGAGTATCCCCCCCCCAGTGAAGAGCGTGCAGACCCAGCCAAGATCATTGAGCTATATGGGTGTGCAGTCATACGTAGCATTGCAAGAGCCCTTTTTCTCCCGACGGCAACACGAGGGAGAGACTATTGCATTTTCATTAGCATTAATGGGCCTCATGACATCTGTTAAGCAGCGTACACCTGGTGGCCTACCCAATGCAGAGGTTCTGTTACGTGACGAGTTTGTGGAGCACGTGGTGGATGGGTCGCTTCGTCGTGAGTTGAAGCGGTTTGCGCCGGCAGCCTGCTGCTACCTTGCTGGAGGTTAGAGTGAGGCAATCAGATGGGAACGAGAGGGCTTACCTGGAGGTTTTAGGGGTCGTAGCCATTCTGTCCCTTCTGTCTTCGGTTCTCAGTGTGTGGTCCAGGGCAGTTGCCAGGTAGGCGTTAGTTCCGCTCAAGCCTCTGAGCTGTGTGCGATGAGGGAAATCCTCAAGTTGCAGCAGTTGAACCAACTGACTGAACAAGGCGCTTTGTTTGGGTCTCGTGCTTGGTAGATACAGGGTCTATGGTGTTGACCATCAGTCTCTTATTCACCAGCAGTTTAAGCCCTGGGGCCATAAGCGGCTCAAATCTTGTCACTGGCTCGAGCTCAGGGCCGCCAATGGCCTGGCCATCCATTACCTTGGTTATTTAGTTAGATGTGGAGCTTTGTGGTAAGCTACTGCCAGCTTGTGGGATTTTGGTCATTAAAGACCCCCCTGGAGGTGTGTCTTCACAGGTTCCCAGTGTTTGAGGGATGAATGTCATCCGCAGGTGCTATGGGGAAGCTTGTTATGCAGGCCCTCCAAAAAGGTGCCATGAAGCCAGTATTACAGCTGATCGGGGAGCAGGGACAGTCAAGATTCATGGTAAAAAGGCTTGTCGTATCCCAGGTGGCATGATGAAAATTGTTGCTGCCACATGCTTAGAACGGTACTCTGGCACTACTGTGCTGTTTGAGTCCCTTTACTCTGGTCTGCCTGCCGGGCTCCTTGGTTCTCCTGCCCTGGTGTTGGTGGTGCGGGGCACAGCCTACATTCCCACTGTGAATGTAGGGTCCTCTGATATGCTGGTGTTGGGACCTTGAAGGAGGTACGAGTGGTAAGTCTACCCTCTGGGGTCAATGAGGTGCCACCTGTGGTGGCTACCGTGGCTTCTCAGTCAGTTTCCCCACTAGTGCCGGGTCAGATGGAAGGCCTGGAGTTGGATCATTTGCCAGCAGGAAGCACAGGGTGAGGTGAGAGTGCTTTTGGATCAGTTTGGGTCAGTCTTTTCAGCCCATGACGGGGACCTAAGTTGCACTGATATGATCTCCCACGAGATCCCGCTCTTAGATAACGTCCCTGTGCGGCAACGGTATCGCCGGATCCCTGTCACCATTTTTCGTTAACAAATCTTTTACATCCATGACTTAGACGTGACAAACAATCTTAAAAAATAAAAACTAAATCTATTCTAACTTTCGTTAACGTGACGAACATGTTGGTGGTTGACTAAGTCACAATACTTTTTCCCCCTAAATTCGCACGCAGCTAACAGACAGGAAAAGTACGGCGGATATTAACGCGCCATGATGACGTTGTGCACAGACTGCGGACCGCGACGACTATTTTATGCTTCGGCGAGTTTGAATGTGGCTTCCTTAGTTTAGCTCAGCTGTCTCGGTTTAGCTGACTGTTAGCAGGCTGAAGCCGGAGAAGGGACGAGAAGGGAGTGGCTTCGGGGAAAGGTGCATAACGAGGCATGATCAGCCTCAGCTGATATTAATCAGTGTGTGTGTTTTGTTCTGCCTTTAAGTAGGAGAGATCAGGCGAGAGAGCTGGGCGAGGAGGCTGGAGCCGGTTGTGCTTGAAAAACCGATCAAATAAAGACTGTTCACTAAAACCCTCAGCCGCATCCTCATTATTCCGGGACCCCCACAGACCCACACGTTACAGTGGCGCCCGACGTGACTGGGGGATAGAAGCGGTGGACGACTAGCACCAGCAGGGGATGGCGGCCCAGCAGATTGTGGCGCTCGGCCAGATGATCGGGAACCTGGCGGTCATCCTGAGGGAGCAGGCGGACGCCAACCGACAGTGCCTGGGGGAGCTCCAGGCCCAGATGGGGAGACAAGCCCAGGCGCTGGAGCAGCTGGCTGCACGGCCCGCGGCGGAGCCGCCGACGCAGAGGCCCGCGGTGCTCGCCACTCGAACAGTCTCGTGACGAGACCCTACGCTCAGCCTACGACCAAGTGATACGAATTGATGGTCATCTGGTGCGCCCTGACGCAGCGCAGTCATTTCCGGACTTTTCTTTGATTAGGGACGAAAAAACGCTATACCGGATAATGACCCGATTTTATTGGCCAGGCATCAAACGGTGAGGTCACGACCCTACAGGTTGCCTGAACACAAAGAAGTGGTTCGGAGGGAATTGGCCAGCATGTTGGAGTTGGGGGTAATAGAAGAGTCCAGCAGTGCCTGGTGCAGCCCCATCGTCCTTGTGGCTAAGAAGGATGGATCTGTACGGTTCTGCGTGGACTATCGCAGGGTGAATGACGTGTCACGGTTCGATGCCTACCCAATGCCCCGGGTCGACTAACTCCTGGACCGGCTAGGCACTGCACGTTTCTTCACGACACTGGCTTTTAAGTGAGGACCTGTTAAAATGTCATGAAGTTTGCTTCGCCGGTCATATTGTTGCTCACACGGGTGGAAAAAAAAAGAAAAGAACAGTTATGCAACTAAAGAAAAAAAAAAAAAGTACCTGCAGCATTTTAGGGCCAAACAGCAGATGGTTGTTGAAAGGAGAATCCCGATGAAAAACGTAATGAGGACGTGCAGGATTGTGAAGCTGATGAGAAATGAGGAAAGCAGATCTGGAATGCAGAGGAACAAATTAATTAAATACGTAATATATTGCGGCTTCTTCATGTTAAAAAATACTTGGAAAGATGATGCATTTAAATGTCATGTCATGTGACACGACAGGTTTCATTTTAGAACAGTGGTAAAGTTCAGTCACACGTGACTCAATGTCATATTAAGCGTCACAGCGCCACCTCGTGAACAAATAGTTACATGCAACCAAACACCGTCAACAGTTTCTATTTGGGGAGAGTGAAACAATGACCCAAGAGGAGACAGGGCGGAAATAATAATCCACAAATCTTTATTTTAACACAATAATTAAAATTTGTAAAAAGAAAAGCTAATGTTAAAATAGTTCACCCATGTTCATCACCTTTATTTACATTGTTCCAACAAAGTGATTGCTCCATCAGACAAAAACAAAATGTGCAATCTTGGTTTACATGAAAGTGACTTACATTTTCTTTATTCCATTATTAATAAAAGCGCACATGGAGTCACAAACGATTGTTAATTGGTAAACAAATACAACAAAACAACTCAGAACACACAATGAATTGTAAATCCTAAAACAATCAAGCAAACCCAAATCAATAAGTCATAAGAAAACTAACATTTGTTTCTGCATTTCATCCATTTCAAGAGGAGCAAAAGAAAAGAGTCCATCTCTGAACTAATATGCATAATTTCACGTTCTTCTGACTGCTCGCCCATTGCTTGTGGAAGCAATGAGGGTGCTGCAGATGTCGGGGGTATTCCAGAAGGGAGGTTCAACAAACTGAGTCCATCCATCAATGGAGCCCCGATAGCACGAGTCACCACCAGTCACCATGACAACAGTAAATAAAAGATCACGCTATTTCACTGTGTTCGAGTTGGAGGTCCTTCTGCAGGCCTACGGTGAGCATAAGCATGTATTTCGCCACAATACAGCTGCAGCAGCGAAGGAGAGAGAGACTGCATGGGGAAAATCGCTGCCCGAGTCAACGCGTAAGTTTGAATGTACTGTTCCATTGACATAACATTTAACCGTAAGATCGTCGCAGCTTAAAGTTATGAATATAAGTAGGAATGAAATCTGATTTTCATTTAGGTGCAATCCAACAGGGGGGAAAAAAGGACCTGGAAGCAGCTAAAAATGAAATATAAAAACATAATTCAAAAAGGGCATATATTGATAGGCTATGATTGCACCTCACTTTCTTTTTGATTCAGTTGTTTTAATTGACAGGCTATAAAACAAAGTAAATATTAATTCAGTGGCTACTTGAAATAGTAAATTAAACCCCTAATAAAATGTTGTTTTTACAGGTATTTTCACATAATACCCCACTTAGGTATAAAATAAAAATGTGTCGAAGTGTCTCCTATCAAAGTCATTTAAAATGTGACGCCGTAGCCTACACCAACACTCATTAAAATATTAATTAAAAAACAAAGAAACATTGAGTTTTGCTCAGCCAACAGAAAGAAGGCAGAGGCCCGAACCTGTCACCTCCCAGGACACAAGTGACTACATCAGCAAGTACACTTCTTTAAAAAAAAATAAAACCAACATACCGTTCAAAAGTTTGGGGTCACCCAGACAATTTTGTGTTTTCCATGAAAAGTCACTTTTATTTATCAAATGAGTTGGAAAAATGAATTGA